TTGTCCTGATAAAATTAGGAAATTCCTAATTTTATCAGGAAACTCCAATTCCTTTGAAGGAAATCTGTTTATCTGCTTTATGCCAAAAATCAAGAGGCAGGCTGTAATACTGAAATTAAATTAGCAGGAACATAGAGTCCTTCTGACATGGTAAAAAGCACAGGAATTATGCCTGTGACTATCCATCTGGTATTTAATCCAAATAAACTAAGATGATTGTTCTTTCACAGTTTCTGTAAATCTACCTCTATATGTCCCAAAAAAAAATCTTAATACAGCACCCACTGGACACAGACAATACTTCATTAATTTCAATGTACTGAATGTGTTTTAATATGTTAGCCCTGCAGCAATGGTATTCAGTTAGGAAAGATTCACTCAGTGCCTTACATATTTTCTCAGCTCATAAAGAGCTACACAGTACTACAGGGAGCATACTGTAGAGGTATTAAATGCTATTATTAAATATATCATATTATTGCTGAAATCTGTACAAGGCAAGAAAACAGAGAACCCTCAATATTTGAACTTTAAATATTATACAGTATTTCAGTAGCTACATTTTCACTTCATAATTCCAAAAGGTCTCTACAGCTAGAACCTACATATAATCACAACCCAAGCTGAATATATTACAGTAAATGTGACAAGGTAGATGATAACTGTGGTGTTATGGTTTAAGGATTTACAGTCATGATGTGAATGCATTATGCACAGTGATAGTCTTCATAATTTATTCATTACTTTGGGAACACTATGAAAAATATAGTGGCACTTTAAAAATCAGATCAATGGTATGTGCATCACTGAGTAGTTAAAACTCATATTTACTGTGCCTTCCCATGTGCTTTTGTGCATTATTTTGCTGAGGGCCAGATTCCAAAACAGTAGAGGTTTTCTTGCTGCTTTTGTCATTTTACTGACACACTCAAAAAAGCTTGGGTTATCTAAGATCTTTTGTACTATCTTCCAGTAAATCCACAATTTACTGAGATTACAGATTAAGAAGCTCCTCGTAGAAGTAAAAACTTTAAAAAAACATAAGTTTATATTAATTATTAGATAAGTCAAGTCATTGGCACCTTCCATCCTCCCTGTTGTCAAGACTTGGTACCACACTAGAAGATGCCATGCCTCCTGGCCTATGTGACCGAGGAAATAAATGCTGCCCAGGGATAAATGGGCATTGTACCACACAGCTGCAGTGTGTCACCTCCAGAGCTGTTATCCTGGGTGCTGCAAGGGACAGAGCCCCCATGGATTGTGTGAACTTAACTAACACAGAACTCACATACATTTAGGTACAATTTAAACATAAAACAACAGGTACAAATTCAATACAGACTAAAAGAGAAAAGAATGTTCTAGTGCTCTGGCCAACAATGAAAATATGCTCAGGAAGTCAAGTCATTCATGAAATGACAACACAAAAAGGCATATTAAAACCTTTGCCTGGACACAGAAACATACCTACACACACATATACATATTAAAAAAAAAAAAATTCATATTAATATATACTCTGATGTAGACCTTGCAGTGAGGATCTACTCTACTAAGGCAGATCTTTAATCTCATCAGAGAGATCTCAATAGTTAAATGCTCCTTTCTCAAAATGGATTCTGAAGGATTAGGCAATATGTCTAAGGACATATTAAGGACATACTCCTTTCTTAGGAAAGAAAAACACAAATACAATTTTAGTACCTAAGAATCTCTTTTAGAATTAAAGATTTAAAGAGCTCAAGCTGTTTCTTTTAATAAAAAGTACAAGGAATAACTTGATTACTCTACGAAAGTATCTTCCCAGAGTGAAAAAGCTAGGTAGTAAAGAGCCCTTCAATCTAGCTGAGAAAATGAAACATGAAGCAAAGGTTAGAAGCTAAACTGACACACATTACAATTAGAAATTAGGCACTCATTTCTACCAATTAACATGTACATTTGTAAGTTCTTTTCCTGCTGAAGCCTTTTGAAGAGCTCTTTTGTAATCTGAAAAGAAACAATTTTATGTGAAGTTTTGATCACACTTCCTGCTGCTTCTCTTCAGATTAAAATGTAACAACTGATTATATAAAATGAATTGCCAGCTAGGATAAAAGGGACAGGGAGGAGAAATGGCCTTTTTTCTTCCCTGTGACAGAAGAACTAGAACTTGGTAAAATACAAACTTACATAAGTTTCCCCACACATACTATAGTTCAAAGGAGTCAACCACTTTATTAGCATTGTTCCCATAGAAAGAAGTTCACTGAGAACAAGTAAAAGCCCTAAATGTTCAGTGCCTTAGGACTTGGGGTATTGCAGTCATAAAATTATTAATTCTAAGTGAACATCCAGTAAGGTTTTTTGATACTTTTTGGACTCACTTTCAAAAACAGGAGTACAAGCTCTTATCTTTTATAAACATCTTTTATAAAAAAAATTATGCCATTTCATGTCAGTCATTTTTAGTTCTGAATCTAACAAAAGATACCATAATGAAATCTCTCACCAGTGACTGAACAAACTGAAAAAACCACAGTCAAGCTTTCAGTAACATTAGGCAGGCAACAGATTATATTCTACACGGAAAATTGTAGCAAGAATAATAATTGCCAAATCAATGATAATGTAAAACATGCAAGCAGTCTGCTAAAAGGTTTCCAGTCATTTTTCCAAGTACACTTACAGGTTTAAAATAAGCTGATGAACTAAAAGCACCTTCTTTAAAGAACAGGAGACTGACAATTTTGATTAACTGGCCATTTAATATATGCTAAGCAAGAAAAGATGGATACTAGGAAATTCACACTATTCTGCACCTTCCTAATTTTATTTTATCATTGAAGAATCTAATGCAGAGCAAGCTGGTTGAATAATTTTATTTGTTGCAATTTTTTTTTGCTAATTGTAATGCAAATATCATTGACTAATTTTTTCTTCCAGATAAGATAATCTTATTCTACCACCAACAGTGGTAAAAACAGCCTTTTTAATTTCTTTCCACAAGAAACCTATTATGCATATATTTCAGCCTATTTAATTTTATCTCTTTTGTTCTTTTTCCTATAAATTGTACATTAGATTAATTAATATTTGACTATACAACTAAAAAAAAGCTATTTTTTTTTCTAAGTTTGGCAAAATAAATTTCTTCAAGTGCAATATGTAGAGCAATCTCCAGAAGTTATTTTATTTCTGGAAGTTATTTTAACTCTAAAATTTGCTGTCTTTTCACATTTATTCCAATATATGTGAATTTTACACTTTTACAAAGTTTTGACTCCGTGGTTATTCAGGCATATCTTCCACTCACTTTCTTGAGTTATACAGCCAATGAACTGTTTGACACTAAAGTCAAACTGTTCACTGCTGCTCAAGTGTGCCTGCCCTGCAGCTGCCTGGTCATGTGGAGCTTCTGCTGCTCCAGATACACCAACAAGCCAAGAGTGAATGTCAGTCAATAGATCTGGCTTAGCAGAAAGATGTATATCTTCTTCTGCAGAGAAAAATAACTTCAAAAGTGTAGCTCTTTCAATGTGTCTTTCTCAATGACCAGTCTAAGGTCTAAAAATGGGGAAAACAGCAAAACAGAAAAAAGCAGGAGAAGCAAGGAGTACCATTCATGATGTTTGTCACTGTCATTTGTCTAGTGTTACTGAATCACATGAAAATACTCAAGAAGAAACATAAAAATATGGTAAACTGTGAGAATAATTTCAAAAACTTTAACACACATTGATGGTGAGAAATGTATGCGTTGCATGCAAGGAATTACACTCGGGTTTCAAAAATCCTTGGTGGAAGAATGCAGCGCACTCTAGAGTTTGCCTTGTTTTGATTCACCTTATTTCAAAATTTCATCAGAAACAGCAACATTATCAAACATTCTGATTTTTAAATTGTTTCAATAAAGGTTTTATCAAAGTTGTATCTTGCAAGTTGTTTATGAATCTACAACTACAACAATATAGATTGAACAGCGTGAAACAAAGGCTTGTTATGTCTTTAAGAGAGTTGTTCTATTGATTAGTACTACAGCGTCAGTACTGCTGCCTCAGTCAAACTCAACAAATTCATGGGTTTGGGGTGTGGTGGGCCACCTGCAAGCCAGGTGCCCATCAAATCATTCCCCTCCACAGCTGGACAGGGGAGAAGATATAATGAAAGGCTCACAGGTCAGGATAAATACAAGGAGATCGCTCAGCAACTACCATCATGGGCAAAACAGACTTGACTTAGGGAAATTAGTTTAATTTATCATGAACCAAAATAAGACTAGGGTAATGAGAAATAAAAACTAAATTGTCTAAGAGCTTTTCTCAACTTTTCACTTCCTTCTTCCTGGGTTTAACTTCACTCCCAAGTGAATTTTCTACCTCTTTCGTCCCTGCAGGGCAGGGGGATGGGGAATGGGAGCTACAGTCAGTTCTTCACACATGCCTGTTGCTCCTTCCTCAGGGGGAGGACTCCTCACACTCCCCCTTCTCCAACATGTCTGTCCCACAGGAGACAAACTTCTCCACCAACTTGAATCCAGGCACTGACTACTTGAATGTGGGTCCTCCCTGAGGTCACAAGTCCTGACAGCAAACCTGCTCCTGCACAGAGCTTCCAAGGGCTCACAGCCTCCTTCAGGCAATCACATGCTCCAGCTGGGGTCCCCCATGGGTGCAAATGGGTATTTTTTGAACTTAGGTATATGCCCCAAAAATCTAGTTCAGTGTCTGTGACTGTGGAAAGAAATATGTCAGTCTGCTTCAAAAAAAGTTTTTAAAAAAGCTTTTAAAAAAGTTTTTAAAAGTCCAACAACATAAACCCAAATAAATTTCTAGCAGATGATCAAGTTTTCAACCAGCTGGCAAATTAAGGGGATAGATAATTTGTGATAATGGGCCTGCTGATTAGTTCTCCTTTGCAGAAAAAACTTAGTAAGTAAAGCTTGATGCTCTATTAGAAATATTCTCCAGCCTCTCATTCTCTCTGTATGTCTGAAATGGAAGTCTAATATTTATTACCAGTTAAAGCAGTCTCCAAAGAAAGGTAAGTCCATGATGACACTATCTTCTTCTGTACTAGGCAAGAATATATTTGGAACACCACTGACCCAATGTGCTGCTGCTAACTACCGTGGAATGAATAACCTCATGGACAGAGTGAGATATACAAAGTTGTCATAAAGAAATGTGCTCCAGGCTCATGACTCACAGCAATGGTTCTTACAGCACCAGGCCTTCTGTCTTCCTCACTTATAATTATCCACTTTTCATCCATCTGTGGAAAACAGAGGCCATGAATGAGAAATTCAGTCTTGTGGAATAATTTTGTTCATGACGTCCATAAAAAAGGAACGGCGTTATAAAAAAGTTCCTCTCCCTTTCTTTCCTTGATACCACACTCCCACTGCTTTGGAAAGCAAAAACATTTTTGTTTTTGTTGCTAAAGACATTAAGCATGTGTGATATAGCACAGAAGTCCTACTCTGCATCACCAACCCTGTGACCCATTTTTTTCATTACTCCTCTCCACCTTTTCTTCCAGAAATGTGCTTCTAAAACTCACGTTCTATATAGGCTTATGGATAAGTATATTTCCTCTGCCTAGAGGTTTATCATAGCTGAGTAGAAGTTGTACCTGGGGCAAAATACGTGAAGAGCAATCATGGAAGGTGCTGAGATGCATGAAAGGCAGTTTTTTGACTTAGTTCTAGGACCTCCTTTCCTACCTGAGCACATGGAGACACAGGCAGTGTACAAAAGAGGGAAAATGTGAGGTGGGTGTGGCTTTGAATGGCAGGCACAAAAGTGGGCCGCCAATTCCTGTTTCAAAGACATTGGGGTGCAGTGGAAGGAAAGAAGAACTCCAATGACCTTGGGAGAACAGAGTAAAGTAATGAACCAGAGAGGGTTATTTAGAGATGCCAGTAGTGAATCAGAGAGGTTGACAAATGAAAATTCCTTTCACTTGTTTCAATTCTCTAGAATTTTCCCAACAGAAAATTATAGGCAATCTAAAATCTAAGCACTATTTGAGTCAATTGTAGTAAAGTATATGACAATTTAATTTCCCAAGGTAATCTTGCAAAGGAAACAATTTTCTTTCTAAAGCGGAAAAAAAACCCTAAGAAGGTTAAAAACATGACCAATGAAGAATAAAATGTGGAAATAATGCAGTCTGAAAGAGACTGTTAGATTAGAAGCCTTTTCCTATGCTCAGCGTTTCAATTTTACACCACTTTTTTTGAAGGCCATTCAGCTTCGTTTTATGCTTTCAATACATTTTGACTAGAAACATAAATCAGCTGACAGAAACAAACTCAAGTGAGCTGAGACTTGGATTTTATAGCAATATTGATAAAAGCTAGTGGGCATTCCTGACGGAACATTGGCATTTGGCCTGAGAGAGTATTTTGAGAGATATTTCAGATTCCTGATTCATTTAAAGACATATTGTTGCACGGCAAGTAATAAATGCAGAAAGAGCGAGGGGCAGGGGAGAAGGGTTTTCTCCATGGAAACAACAAAATAACAATTTTTCTAACAAGATTCAAGGATGTAACTTATTGAAGACTGGTAAAGTTTCAGAGCCTGGATAAGTTTCAAACAGAGATGCAGGGAAAGATAAAGTAATACTTTTATGATTTCTTTGGTTAGTTCCTATTATGCAGAAGGGAATGTGTAGAAAAAGTGTGCAGTAACTTTTTATGTCAGTTTAACTGGAAAAACATAAGCTGAATTAGAGTGCATGAAAGGTGAAGCAATTCAAGGGGGGATATAATTAAAAAAAACAAAACAAAACCATCCTAGATTAAAAGACATGTAAATAATTCAAAGTAGCAAGTTTTCTTTGCCTCATTTTCTTTAAGATTACTCTTTCTTTTATGTAATTCCATGCTGGAATACCCACATTTACTAACTACACAAAATTGAACTGGAAGTATATTTCATAAAATCTTTATCTGCTTATCCCTCCTAAGACAGAATCACCTTCACAGGCTTCTGTGTAGGCCATTCAATAAAACATCTATTGTTGAATACTCTACAACAGCTCTCTTCACTCTGCCCCAGATCTTTGACAATATGTCTTAATGTCTGTAATTCCCTTGTTCCAATATTAGCTCATTCCTTCATGTCACTGCATGAAGGAAGCAGATTATTCCTTCCTCCTCAGGTCATGTTCTCTGGACTTGATCATTCACCATGCTTTTCTCTGCAATCTCTTCAGCTGGCCAATGTTTTATTTTAAGTGCAATAACCAATCCAGGATACCGCGTGCTGGGTTTGGTTGTGTTTTTTCCCCTTACAATAAAATGATCTTGACAACTGCTGTTGCCTTCAATAAAAAATCCCAATTTTTCTGCACTTTCTGGCTTGCTAGGCAGTTTCTATATTTCATTGCTCAGCTGATTATTTTTACTGAAGTGCAATAAATTCCATTTGTCCTGCTTGAACTGCATCCTGCTTTACAGACCAAGTCACCAATTAACAAGATAGTTTTAGATCTTAAACATCTCCAAAGTACTTGCAGACACGTCTCTCTCCATTTTCGCTTGATATGAAAGAATACATCATCTTAAACCGCTTTAAGATGATTCTCCCTGGCTTCCCTTTGTTTCATTAGAATCATTCAAGAATTTTTCACATCACCACAACAAGGTATTAGTTTCCACCACGGTTTTGCATTTTGGGAAGCTTAATGCGAGTGACATTGCAATTATTTTGTGTGTTTTGGCAGCTAGGGTAAGGAACAACATTAGACCTTTGATCAATAACTATTAGCTGTTCCATTAGAAAAATCAAAAATAGACAGAAATTCAGATTTGAAAGTAGTAACACTTACTTAAAATTTACAGCCAAAATAAAACTTAGGTTTTCCTAGTACCAATTAGAACATACATTTTCAAGCAGCAAAGTTACAGTGCAGGAAAAAAATTCAAAAGACAAAATTTATTGAATAATAAATCAGGTATGTATTGAAAGAGAACAACAAAGCTTGCTCTAATTGACTAACATAAACATTTACATTTTTCATAAGGATTAATGGATTAAGATGCTTAATCACAAAGGGGAAAAACTGCTGTTTATGACCTAGTGTTAGACAGCAATAAATGGCTTAATCTGGTTTTCTCTGAAGGTAAAGCTGTATGTAGTAATGGATTTAAGAGATATGTACATAAGTTTCTAACTTAATTTTAATAGCATGCAAACTGTAAAAAGTTTTGGTACACATGTATTCGTGTAACTTTTCACGACCAGCATTTTTATTCCAGTATTGCATGGGTTTATTTTTTTTTTTTCAAGGAAGGGAAAAGTACCCTGTGCCAACCGAAATTATGGTGAGATGATCTTCCTAAAATTGTGCTTGAAGGGAGTAACTGGATTCCTAATGGCAAAGTGATGATATGTGAACACCAATCAATATGTGAATTAGCAAACTCATGCTGAGAAAAACCAAAGTGCTTAGAGGCCATAACCATACACTGGCTATCCTCTCCAGGCTATCTTCTCTCTGTATCATATTACTTTGTGAGACAGAATTCAGAAAATAAAAAGGCAATGTAATTTCTGTGCTGTGTTCAACAGAAAATTTAGAAATGCTGTGTTATACTCTAGATATATTCTGTGGTGCAAAGGAGAATTACTGAAGTATAGAAGCTCAGAATTTTAAGATAAATAAAGAAGTTTTGTCAGCGGAGTGGCACATTAAGTTTACATTTGAGCTTGGTCCATAATCCGTACATTTTATGCTGCATTTGTTGAATAAAATGCCATGTCATGAGTTAAACAATCTGGAGGAATAAGTTTGGAGTATGAATTGGTTTCAGATAGACAAAATCAAAATTAGAACTCAGGTACACACACATCATTATTAATTTAGTTATATTATAAAAATAATGATATTTATTTTTGTAGCATAGACCAATTAAATAGTAGCATAAAAGTATGGTATAATAAAGACATACAGTAAAGTGAACCAAGCAGAAGTTTTTGCAATACAAATAATGTGATTTTTCAAAAGAAAGAGGTCTGAGAACATATACATGCTTGATGTTTTGCTTTAATTCCAGTAAAGGAGGTTCAGCAGCTGGAAATCTAAAAAAGGAAAGGTGACCACTCAGTTGTCAGTGCAGCACTGCTCAATTCTAGGGTTCAGGCTTTAGTTTTCCAAACTATTTGTCCTGAATCTCCAGGGCTGCTCTGAACACATTTACTAAGAAACTAAAAATGGGCTGCATGTTTTACCACAAAAACTTCTTGATTTCAAAAAGTGAAATATTTCTCTTTTTTTTTGAGAGAAGAGGTAGGAAAAATTTAAAAGATATAAAGTCAAAAAGCTGCTAAGCCACAAAAATTCAAAACCCATGATCTGGTTGAAGGCTGAAAAATGTAAAGTAGGTCTAATAAAATTTGGAAGAAATAAATCTTTCTTCTTTACAGTTTAGAGTTACTGATATATAGATAGCACCTCAAAGTTCAGAAGAGCAGAAGCAGTAGCACTGGTAGGCATAGATGCTTAAGGAAAGAACTGACCTACATCATACATAATACAACTGAAAATGAGGACAAATTTTTACAGAGTATGTAGTGGATTTCAAACACTATGCATTCTATAATGTATAGTATTCACCGGTATATTCTCACTTAGAACTTATTATTTAAGTCCATTTATGACTTTGGGACTGAAATGGGGACCTGCAGACTCCATCTCTACAGCTTCACAGCCAAATCTCTGCAGCCTGAATCTGCAACAGCTTGACTCCACTTGTCACTGATATGGGCAAAAATACATGTACAATATATGTGAGCTGAAAGCCTATACTTGTAAGCTTGGTGCAACAAGAAAATAACTCGAGAGAAATTGATTCTGATTTTTAAAATTTATGTCTTCTAATTTCTTTTAAATGACTGAAAATTAGCTTTAGTCTCACAGTTAAGAATTGTTAAATTTTATACATTATTTTCAAATCTCCTATTTTTTTTTGCTTCTCAATCTCTTTATATCTTTAAATCTATTTATTTACATTTATGAAGTATTACCACAAAACATAAAGGTCACAAAAGTAATCCTAAATGTTCCTTCAGAAAAGAAATATAACCTTCATTTATCTAAAGTCTAACAATAAT